CTCCTTTTTTAAACAGTTGGGACTCCCTCCCCTGCAGGAAGAGGCCTTTCTGCAACCTCCTACTCTGTCCAGGTCCTCTGCTACGCCACGCAAGATTTGGACACCTGCTAAACCTGGAAGAAGAGATTTCCATGCACTCCTCAACGTCTCTGACTTCCTGGTTTGGTGGGCCCCACCTGACTCTTTTACATATCAGGTCTCCCGCCCTGTTAATTGAGCTCCTGTGCCCTCAAGTGTGCCTTAGCAATTTTCCTAATTGTTGTGTCCTCATTATAGCTGTTCTCTGAATCACTGAGGTAGGCACTTGCCGTTTCGGGTCAGCTGCCATGTTGCTTCCTTGTATGGCAGGCTTTCAGCCCTGACGACTCGGGACATTCCCAATATCCTGGGTATATATCGCTGATGATATCTTTGTTTCTGGCTATAATCCCTATGGCCTCTGTTCTGAGTGATATATTTGTTTGTGCTAGGCCTGTTGCCATGCTAATATTTCTGTTGTTCTCTTTTTTGCCTCATAGATGATAATTTTCCTGTATGCTCAGGTTACACAGCTGCTACACTTATTACTGTCTCATGATGGCTTTAAAGCTGTTGTCATATAATGTCAAAAGGCTAATTCAGTCTAAAAATGGTGGAGGGATCTGAAGGAGTTTAGAGCCTCGGAAGCAGATATTATAATCATTCAGGAAACCCATTTCAGGCAGGATGGCTCTTTTTGTTTTGCCTCCAAGAGCTTCACACAATCCTACTTGGCTTGTGATCCCTCTAGGAAAGCTGAGGTAGCTATTTTGATTCGGAAACACTGCTCCCTGAGCGTCTCCTCCTCTTGGGTTGACCCACTTGGTCAATATATCTTCCTGGAATGTATGTACGAGAGCTCTCCACTTGTGCTTTGGAATTTGTATGCAACCAACTCTGGCCAGTTGTTATTTCTCTCTCAAACCCTTGATAAATTGTGTTCCCTATCTACTTCATGCATGAATGTTGGGGGGGGGGGGTTAACATGCTTATGTCCCCTCACAAAGATAGGAAAGTGCTTTTTGCACCCACTCCGTCGAAGAGACTATGCTCCTCCTCAACTGCTTTCCGTAAATTCATCAGGGAGCATCACCTCTTTGACACCTGGCGAGTCAAACTTCCTCTCTATAGGCAATTCACGTTTTATTCTACTCCACATTGTATGGATCTCAATTGGATCATTTTTTTTGTCACCGCCCCCCGATCCCCTTTTTGCTTTCCTCAGAGATCAACCCGATGACTTGGTCAGATCATGCCTCATTGGTCACTTGATCTCCTTTTCCTACCTCCTCCCCTAAGGTTTGTCACTGGCACCTCAATTAGAGTTTTTTGTGCTCGGAACAACTTTGAGAAGAGTTCTCTTGGGGTCTGGATGATTATTTTCAACTTAATTATACGAGATCGAATCAGGGCTCTTGATCTGCAAAAAACTGCTCAGTCTCTCACCTTGGTTAGGCAAAAATGTTATGAGTTTTCTAATAAATCGCATTGTATGCTTGTAAATAGACTTAAATCCCAAATGTTCCCCTCACAACCGGGCCACCTACTCCAGTCTGATGGCAAACCCACATATGACCCGCATGTTATGGCTATAATATTGGGAATACTATGACAAGCTTTATAACTGCCTAGCCCCTGATACTCACCCTCCTCTTCATCTGGCTGCTTTTCAAGAATTTTTTGACCCATTACAATTGCCATGTTTGTCACCTTCCTTCACAGCTCTGAACACGGACATATCCATTGAAGAATTATTGGATGTTGTCAAACATCTTCCTCCTCATAAGTCCCCAGGGCCGGACTGTCTTCCTTATTCATATTACAAATCCTTTATCTGCATTTTAGTCCCCCATCTTCTGGTTTTGTTTCGTGGATCTCCTGAAGGGGTCATGCCCACACAATGATTTTACTTGCACATACATTTCTATGATCCCCAAGCCAGATAAAGATCATTCCCTTCCAGATAACTATCGTCCTATAGCTTTATTAAATTCTGACTACAAGATTTTTACGAAAATTCTAGCTAATAGACTGGTCAAGTGTATCTCCAAGCTTATACAGCGACCAGGTGGGCTTTGTCCCGGCTAGACACACCGCAGATAACACCAGGAGGACCATTGACCCGATTGATCTTGTCAATAAGTCCCCGACTCCCTCTGTCTCTGTCAGAGGTCAGGGGATTTCCATCCTCCAAGAGCAGAAAGAAAACTTCTCCTACAAGCTTTAGATAGTGCTGGGCTGGACACTGATAGAAGTCACAAGACTGCTATATACTGCTAATGAGAAAAGGTGCACCCCTGACTGGAGCCGTCTTTAACCCTGCCCTTGCCTTTGCAGTTGTGTTCTTGTGTCATGGGAACACCTACCTACAGTATATCTCTGTCTACTGGATCGGACCTCTTATTGCCCTAGTGATCCCTGCGTCAGCTCCTGTGAAGGGGGAGGCTCATCCAGATTGACACTTCCCTGACCTGCAGGACCACTCTTTCACCACATGAGGGCGTAGGATTTCCATCTTTCCCAGCCATTTCTCTGACCAGACCTGAGAAGAGAGGGGGGTCTTCAGGATATATATACACATGCGTATTACTTATACGCATTCTGGTTAGTGTGAATTTCTGCCATTTGCACTGGGAATCATGGAGCACTGTTTTTCACTGGACTGTGTTTATTATCACTCTTCATCATTTCCTTTAGAGTGCTGCATTTTGTTTGTATATGAATTTTGGGACTTTTTATGCGTTTTCCTTTAATGTTCAGCTGCTGTGATTGTCGATGAGCGCTTACTATATATTTTATTATCCTCTATTCCCATGTCCAAGTTGCGTTCCCTTCAGAAATCTTTTCTTCACTTCATCTGGCATAATAAATCCCACTGAATTGCCCATACTGTCCTTCTCTCTCCTCGATCTAGGGGAGGTCTGGGGGCCCCAGATATCGTGTCATATTATCTGGCTACCCACCTTCATACTCTTGTCTTGTGGTCCTCCCAGCGCCTTCCTAATAAATGGGCCGAGATTGAATGGCTACAACTGGGTCCAATGCACCTTTGCTCTTTACTCTGGTCTATGACCAACATTGAAACCGCCCCTTACAAACATCTCCTGCTTGGGCCCATGCACTTTACATTATCTATATGGAGGCGGTGTAGGGTTAGATTCACCCTGATTTTTCTGTGTTCCCCCCTGACCAATGTCATACTGTATTTAATCCCAGTCAACCTGATAGTTTGGCTTTGGCTCACGTGAGTCCTTGGGCCAAGGCTGATCTATTTCAATTGTGACACTTGGTCCACCGAGTGACTTGTAAACTTAAATTATATTCTAAGATTCAAAAAGCCATTTGTATGTCATCTAACCAGTATTATGTTTATCTGCAGATACATCACTTTTTCACCTCCAAAGCACCATCTCTAATCCTTGAGAAGCCTACTCTCTTTGAACGCATCTGCATTCAGGGTCCCTACCAACGGGGCATAATTTCCTCTACCTATAAAATGCTTCAAGACGCCTGTCCCCTTTCCATTAATGCACACCTTTATATGCGCAAATGACCCTGAATCCTCCAATGTGATAATGCCTTGGATCAATGTAGAAGGATTTGGGAGGCTGCCTCCAGACCTATTTGTGTAGTATATTAACAAAACACTTATAAAATACTGATGTTTTGGTATAGGACTCCTGAGGAAACAGGCACTCTCTTCCATATTTTTTGGACTTGCCAACACACTGCACTTTTCTGGATAGAGGTGCTTAATCTTTTGCAGCTACTTTTACAGGTTCCCATTTTATTTGAGCAAATCCACTTTTTGCTGGGCCTGACTTTTCAAGGCCTCTCCAAAATTGCCAGGAAACTATCCTCCCATGTTTTTGCAGTGGCCAGGAGAACCATTCCTATGCATTGGCTTTCTACTATGCCTCCTACACATTCAGAATTGGTGAAGGTCGTAGCAGAAATTAGAAGAATGGAGTACCTCACTGCATTTCATACTAACCTTGTCACCATCTTTGAAGCAGTTTGGGAACCATGGGATCTTTCCCTTTCCTATTTACCTACTCAGTTGTCTGAAAATAATGGCTAATTCACTGTTATGCATTGACATTGTATGTACCTATATGCCTCTCATTGATGAGCCTGTTTCTTTGTTCTTTTATTGCCTTGTGATTGCTATTTCACAATTCTATGCAACTATGTTTGTTGTACACTCTTTAAAAGTTAAAAAAAAGTAAATTATAAAAAAAAAGTAAAAGATAAAAAAAAAAAAAAAAAAAAAATGAAAAATTATTAAACAAAATTAATTAGAAATAAAATCATATAAAATAACAGGATGAGGGAAAAAAAAAAAAGAATAAAAATAAAACAATAAATAAATAAAAATAGGGAACAAATGTATTATACTAGATATACCGTATTTGCCGGCGTATAAGACTACTTTTCAACCCCTGAAAATCTTCTGAAAAGTCGGGGGTCGTCTTATACGCCGAGCCGGTGTGTCAGGGCGGCACTTTTTCCAGGGGCGGTGTCCTCCAATGGACACTAAGTACAGGGGTGGGCAGAGGGGCTGCTGTACCTTACCTGGCTCCGGTCCCGGTCCCACGATGATCCGGTCCGGTCCAGGAAGCGCGGCTGCTCCTTCTTTCAGTTCGGCCGCTCGATGGTCGCACGGCCGCTCGGCTCCGCCTCTTCACCGGTGATTGGGCGCCAGCGCACACAGGCAACCAATCACCGGTGAGGAGGCGGAGCCGAACGGCTCCGCGAAAATCAAGCTGCCGAACTGAAAGAAGGAGCAGCCGCTCCTCTCCCCCACTGACACTAACGATGGGGCACTATTCCTCCCCCACTGACACCAATGATGGGGTACTATTCTCCCCACTGACACCAATGATGGGGCACTATTCCTCCCCACTGACACCAACGATGGGGCACTATTGCTCCCCCACTGACACCAACGATGGGGCACTATTCCTCCCCCACTGACACCAACGATGGGGCACTATTCCTCCCCCACTGACACCAACGATGGGGCACTATTCCTCCCCCACTGACACCAACGATGGGGCACTATTGCTCCCCCACTGACACCAACGATGGGGCACTATTCCTCCCCCACTGACACCAACGATGGGGCACTATTCCTCCCCCACTGACACCAACGATGGGGCACTATTCCTCCCCCACTGACACCAACGATGGGGCACTATTCCTCCCCCACTGACACCAAATGATGGGGCACTATTCCTCCCCCACTGACACCAATGATGGGGCACTATTTCTCCCCCACCTGGGGACACTGACACCAATGATGGGGCACTTTTCTCCCCACTGATACCAATGATGGGGCACTATTCTCCCCACTGACACCAATGATGGGGCACTATTCCTCCCCCACTGACACCAACCATGGGCACTATTCCTCCTCCCCACTGACACCAACGATGGGGCACTATTCCTCCCACTGACTAATGATGGGGCGCTATTCCTCCCACTGATACCAATGATGGGGTGCTATTCCTCCCACTGACACCAATGATGGGGCATGATTCCTCCCACTGATACAAATGATGAGGCACTATTCCTCCCACTGACACTAATGATGGGGCACTATTTCATCCACTGACACCAATGATGGGGCACTATTCCTCCCACTGACACTAATGATGGGACACTATTCCTCACACACTGACACTACTGATGGGGCACCATTAGTGTCAGTGGGAGGAGTAGTGCCTCATCATTGGTATCAGTGGGAGGAATAGTGCCCCATCATTGGTATCAGTGGGAGGAATCATGCCCCATCATTGGTGTCAGTGGGAGGAATAGCACCCCATCATTGGAATACCATACTGAAATAGCATACCATATTGAAATCAAATCTGATGTTTTTTCATTTTTATTTGGTGTGCGTTGGAAGAGGGGTAGTCTTATACGGCGAGTATAGCTCAAACCCTATATTTTAACAGGAAAAGTAGGGGTTCGTCTTATACGCCCAGTCGTCTTATACTCCGGCAAATACGGTAAATACCTGAAAGAAGAAAAGCAAAAATAAAAGTGAAGAAAAAGGAAAAAGGAAAAAAGAAAAAGAAGAAATAAAGAGAAAAAAAACAAGGAAAAGATAAACAAATGGGCAAAAAGAAAAGGAAAAAAAAAAAAAAAGAATAGAACAGGAAAGATACAGAGAAAAAGAAGCAGAATGTGCATGACGTGCAGCTCACATGTTCCTAAAGGGAGGAAAGAAGTGCAAAGTGAGAAACAAATTGCTATAAACCAGGGAGCATGGGCATTTTAGGATGTAGACACAATAGTCAGTTTTGCAATTCATGTAGCCCTGTATGTGAGGATGTGTGAAATGTTCTTCACAGATCAATGAGTTGCATTTATTACAATTGTAATACTTGTAACAGCCCTGTATATGCAAAATCTTGACCACTGTCTTAGCATACTGGGTCCTAGGCTTTGCTTGTACGAACAGGCCATGAATAGCAAAAATCTGAAAAAACAGCACTGACTTCAAATTATTGTACTGACTTGTAGCCCCCCACATTTAGGGTCCATGTACACTGGCTTAAAAAATGCTGTTCCTAGAGTGTCACGAACCTGTGGTAGTGAGCCCTTGTAGACCGCCAACTCGGGGGTTCCCCAGGGCACGGAGTCTAAGCACCAACCTGCTTCTTCACCAGAGCCCCTGATAGTGGGGATAGACTTGCAGCAAGCTAGAATCAGGTCACGGCCCCCAGCTGAGGATGCGGAGACCACTCGCGCGAGCAGAGTGTAATGGCAGGAGACAACAGGGAAGCCGGTAGACAAACCAAGGTCAGGATGGGTGGAAATCAAGCACAGTCAGTGGGCGAAGCTGGGGTCAGTAGATGGGTAGTCAGATACAGGAATAGCAACAGACAGGTGCTTAGAGAACTAAGAAGTTGCTCAGGCAAAGTGGGCTAGACTGAGCATGTCTTATATAGACAAGCAAACTAGGAGGCGGGCCAGGAAGTGATGGAAGGAAATAAAACCCAGAGAATAGCAGACGACACCCATAGGTGAGCACAGACAAACCACACCCGCACATGTGAAAGGAATCAGGAACAGCACTGCAGTAAGAAGGTAATAATACACAAACAAGAAACTGCAGGCAACCCCCGTTATGAGGTCTCCCCATTTGTTTAGGGCAGGCTTAAGAGGAAACTTCTGATGAAAAAATTCCACTAGAGATGGGGTGCAGAAACATCAGTAGAAGGAATCCAACACCTTTCTTTAGGACCATATCCCTTCCAGTCAATTAGATACAAAAGCTTCCCTCTGATTAATTTGGAATCCAAGATTTGCTTGACTTCATACTGATCCGAAATACTCACTATTGGGGAAGGATGACGATGAGGATGGGAAAACCTGTGGAGTAAATTTCATAGAGGATACTCGTAGATGGATATTCTTGGTAGAGAGCCAAACCTTGTCACCAGGGAGAAATTTGGGAACCACACGACGAAGATGATCTGCAGCTACTTTATACTTGGAAGCTGCCAGACGTAAATTCTTGGAAACCTCTGTCTAGATGGAATTGAATGATTGTTCTACCTCTGCAGCCAGGGGCACTGCAGAAGAGATGGAAACAGGAAATGGTACAGAAGGATGACGACCATACACAGTGAAAAAGGGAGACTCACCTGTACTGGCACTGGCATGGTTATTAAGGGCAAACTCTGTCCAGGGTAGAAGGTCTACCCAATCTTACGGACTTCCTGACTTGATCCAAATTGAACACCTTTATCAGAAACAATGTGAGAGGGCATACCATGAAGACGGAAGATTTCCTTAATGAATTTGGAAGCCAAAGTAACGGCAGAAGGTAGTCCTGGCAGTGAAGTTAGTTGACACATTTTAGAAAACCTGTCCACAACCACCCAGATAATGGTGGAACCTGCTGAGGGGGGTAGTTTAGAAATAAAGTCCATGAATATGCAACGGCAAGGTTCATCTAGAACAGGTAGAGGTAAAAGAACTGCAGGAGCAGATGTGGAGGACTTAGACTGCACACAAATGGAGCAAGCCTGAACATATTCTTCAACATCCTTCCGCAGTGAGGGCCACCAGTAATGATGCTGCAGAAAGGCATAGGTGTGTTGCACACCAGGATGTCCAGAGAGTTTAGAGTCATGTGCCCATTTGAGTAGCTTGGAGGGAAGGGCGCCTGCCACAAAGGTCTTTCTGGGTGAGATGCATCTAGACTGAAGATGAGTGGTGGCCAGGATACGACTGGCAGAAATAATTGTTTCCGGTTCAATATGACACTCACAGTCAGCAACGTCAAATGATCTGGACAAGGCATCTGCACGGGCATTTTTTTAACCGGGCCAGAAGGTAATGTCAAAGTTAAATCTGGAAAAGAAGAGAGCCCATTGCGCTTGTCTGGGATTCAAACGCCGGATGGATTGCAGATACTTGAGGTTCTTATGATCTGTATAAATCAGGATACAATGTGGAGATCCCTCCAGCAGATGTCACCATTCTTGTAGTGCCAGTTTAATAGCCAGCAGTTCCCGATCCCCGATGGTGTAATTCATTTCAGCATCCAAAAACTTCTTCGAGAAGAAGGCACAAGGACAGAGCTTACCCATCATGCATTTGGAGAAGGACGTCCCCCACTCCCAAAGATGAAGCATCTACCTCCAAGAAGAAAGGCTGGAAAATGTCCGGATGTACGAGAAAAGAAGCAGGGTGAAAGGTGGATTTTAGTTTGTGGAATGCCTTGACTGCTTTAGGAGGCCCGGTTCTGGCATTGAAACCCTTCCGGGTTAAAGAAGGATTGGGGCTACCAGCAAAGAATAGTCAGGAATGAACTGGTGGTAGAAGTTGGTGAATCCCAAGAAGCGCTGGCTTTCAAACCAGAGGGCTGAGGCCAGTTGGAGATGGTTTGGAGTTTGGCAGGATCCATAAGCAGCCCTTTATCCGTGACTATGTAGCCTAAAAAAGGAACCTGGGTTTGCTCGTAGAGGCACTTCTCTAACTTTGCATACAGGCAGTGGTCCCGAAGACGTAGAAGGACAGTACATACATGCTGATGATGAGTGTGCAAATCAGGAGAAAAGATGAGTATGTTGTCCAGATAGACAATGACACAAACATATAAGAGATCAGAAAAAATATCATTAATAAAGTTCTGAAATACGGCTGCGGCATTACACAAGCCAAAGGGCATTACAAGGTATTCATAATGCCTGTCTCTAGTATTGAAAGCTGTTTTCCACTCATCACCCTCACGGATCCTAACCAGATTGTATGCTCCACGGAGGTCTAGCTTTGTGAAAATTCGAGCATCTCAGAGCCTGTCAAAGAGTTCAGAAATAAAAGGCAAAGGGTACCGTTTCTTAACAGTGATTGCATTGAGACCTCTATAATCAATGTAGGGCCGGAGAGTACCATCTTTTTTCTCCACAAAGAAGAAGCCAGCCCCAGCAGGAGAATTGAACTTACAGATAAATCCTTTTTGCAGATTTTTCCTGGACATACTCAGACATAGCTTGAGTCTCAGGAAAGGAGAGAGGGTAGACTTTACCATGAGGTGGAGAAGTCCCAGGTTGGAGATCAATAGTACAATCGTAGGGACGATGAGGAGGCAGTTAGCAGCTTTCTTACAAAAGACATTTTGGAAGGCCTGATAATGCAGAGGGAGCATTGGAGAGGTGGTGACTTCAGCAACAGGTACACAGAGAGGTGGGAGCACTTTAGGGAGACAAGTCCAATGGCTTTGTGACCCCCCAAGACAATACTTGGCCAGAGTTCCAGTCTAGATAGGATGAGTGTTTCTGCAACCATGGAAGTCCAAGAATGATGGGACTTGAAGACTTAGGAAGGATCAGGAAGGACATTTACTCATGATGAAGAACACCAAAATGCTTTGTAATGGAGTTAGTTCGGAACCGTAGAGGTCAAGGTAGAGCCATCAACTGCAGATACTGATAGGGGTGTCAGCAAGGGGACAAAAGGAATGCACAATTCAGCAGCCAATGATTGCTTGATGAAGTTCCCAGCTGCCCCAGAGTCCACATAGGCAGAAACCTGGTACAAGTTCAGGGCCCAATGAATGAAGACAGGTATGATAAATCGAGGGAAGGTGGCGGAATTCAGGTTCTGGTCTAGATCACCTACCTTGGAGTGAGCTAGACCCAAGAGTTTCCCGGACGGACAGAACAGGACTTAATTATATGACCTTCAGCCCCACAGTAAAGGTATAGACCAAGTCTTAGGCAACATGATCGCTCTTGTGGAGTGAAGCGTGTTCGACCTAACTGCATAGGCTCTTCAGTTGCTGGTACTGTTGCAGAGGTAGATTGATCAG